AGTGCTGACAGTGAACAATCCAACGATGTCATGTGCAAACGAAGTCTTTGTGTATTACGCTCTCTGGCGACAGCATCACATATAACTTTGTTTGTATTCATCGCCAGCGGGCGCAGTTTATCCGACTTTGTCAAGATATTCAACACTCTTCCGTTTATCACGAGATACGTTTACACTGCATTGTCATGTCATACTTACCAATCTGTGTTGTTTTTTCTAGGTATATTTAAAATTGAACTTCTAGGTTGATCTGAGAAACGGTGTTTTAGTTCATTTGTCCATATTTGTGAATTCATAAACTCAAGCTAATCACGTCATAAGAATATTAAATGTGCTACGTCTCATAGTAAAATTATGGATATATTTATATGTTAGCTAAATGATAACGTACTGACAAATCATGATTTATTCACTGGGTTTGAATGTCGCTATTTTCTCTAATACGTAAAATCCGTTAAATCTACGTGAATATATGTAAAATAGCAATAAAACTCCTTGTTTCCTTGACAAAATCATGAAATAAAAACCACAGTGGATATGCTCAAAATAGTGAAATTATATGTCAGTGAAAATAAATGGTTTTACAGTAACATAAATTATATCACTCTTGGTCATTAGACCTATTGCGGTCGTTGGTTTATATCTGTAAACGTTTTGTTCTTAGTATGCAGTTAAAAAATCGGCCACGTTTGTATACATATGCAGCATACTATATTTGTGATTGCTACAGAGAAATATACATAACTTGTAAAGCGGCATTGTCTTAGTTACCTAACTGTAACCTGTTTTGTAAACCGGTATTGTAATCATCTAGCAAGTATACTCTCTAACGACTGAGTTGTTGCGATTTTTACCTCCATTTTCTGGAAGAAAAATAACAGTTAGAAGAATCATTGCAAATTATTCGGGAGCAAATGACAAAGCGTACAATATATCTTTTGTGTTTATGTAAATTAACATACGTTAGTACTATGCACTGGCAATGCAACACATTGCTGAATCTTTCAATTTTATCGTTTTTTCGTGGTATAAATGAAAATGACACCAACTCGAAACTGTGGATTATCGGACATAAACGGATATTTTGGCTAGAGTCTGTTAATTCGCAAAAAACGCGTGTTTTACGAATGATATGCCTAATAGTCAATATCCATGTTTTTATCCAGTTTAAATTTAAAGGGCGGCAGTCGTCGTGCCACGTCGTGTTCGATACGGGACTCATAGCGACGTGTACAACGCGTGTAAAATACATTGTTTATTTACTAGAAATTTGAACACGCGCTGCGCGACGACCACCGCGCTTTAAAACATTCACCCGCTTGCGAAACAATATGCTTGTATGTGTAACTGTCACTAGACTAATTTTAATATAATTCTGGGTCACGGAAAATGCAGAAATACCTGTTTGTCTTTCTGGGATTTTAATCTATTTTTTTTTCTTTCTAATATATTAAATAAATAAAATACTGCATATACCATGTATACCGTGCGTGCTATTAATATCACTTCAATAAAACATAATATTGGTAATTATTTAAATGTCCCGTCTTGAAGGTCGACCTTTCATATTCCTTTGTCTGAAAAGGTTGCTATTCGGCAAGTGAAATAGCTTTCTGTTAGCTAAATAACACGTGATCGACGAGATTACACAGAGTGGAGTTACTATGGAAACAACGTTCATGTCAAATTCGACCTGTTTCGGTTTACGTCGTATGTCAGTGTGGAACGGGCAGCTTACGTATCATTCAGTTTCATCTGACGAACCCCAGCCACAGAGTACTATTTCTCACTCGGACGACAATAGAATATGTCGTTCAACCATGAAACGTAGCAAAGCGGGAATTTTGTCGGAGCTGGAGTAATTGCCTCTACTTTAATAATACCGAGCTGCTCGGGCGCATCGATGTCCCGGTTCTCGCTCACCCGGTAAAACTAAGCGTAATATTACGGAATCACTATGAGTGGGGATTCCTGAGAATAACTAAAGTCGGATATACCACGGCGGCTACATCCCGCGCTGTTACGGCTTCGTTTCGATGCTCCCGTACACAGACGAGACCATTTCCGCGGTAATTAGCAGTGGGCGAAATGAAGCGGTAACAGATGAGGCGTCGCAGTCCTTAATATAATACACCCATCAATGGGATGGATGAGACATGTCTACGTACTATTCAAACGTGATCTTTGTGTAAACAGTCTTATAGTTTATACAATCGCGTCACTTTGTGCAATTACTGATGGACGTAGACCTGGAAAATTAAGGGTGCGTTTTATGAACCGAAACGTAAAGCGATACGACAGAGAACGCGATCTGTAGTACGGTTATTGTTGTATGCAGTAGCGTAGAAACCATGGCAAGCCGCGAGGGTGATCGACGGCCACTGAGAAATGGGTGTTTCCCTTGTCTTCCATCTACGGGTATAAAAGCGTTCCTCTTAGCGCATTTTTTCTGCGTTGTTCTTCTCGTTGGCTACCTCCTGGTAGGCGCGCAGATGTTCCGCGCGATTGAACTCGACGAGGAAATCGCTCAAAGGGAACATGTTTGGGAGTATCGTTCGTACCTCATCCACGAACTCTGGAACCAAAGCCAAAACAAGAACGTCACCAAAGACGAATGGATAGAAATGGCAGAAAGTGGAATCGACCATCTGTCCAAACACTTAGAAGTTTTGTTTGTTCATGGATACCGAACTTCCCAGAATCACCACAGTCATTGGAATTTTGTTGGATCGTTGGTGTTTAGTATGTCGGTCGTTACCACTATTGGTAAGTACAAGTTTAACAGAAAGCTTTCTTAAAATGTTGCATTTGGGGGTGGGGGCTAAAACATTCCAGATGAAAGCCATACATGACGCGTGTTATGACTTCCGTTTGTTGGAATATGACCACATCATCGTTAGTGCACCCATAACTCGAGGATGTTTTCAAACCAAGACTACTCTATTTCTGTATATCACCAAACCAAACATTTATTCCTCGTTCTCTCGTTCTTAAACCTTCAACATTACCTTGAATTAGCGCTTTGGTTATTTTATTCGCCCTGATACGCTGTCCAAACAAACTCCTTAAGATGGTCTGGTTCTCCCTGGATGATTTTATTTCCAGTAGTGCATTCAAACTCATTGGTCTTATTCCCCTTCCACGAGGTGTTAAGCAATCTTCTTGAAGACGGTACATTTCCATCGTCTTATTTACTGTCCAACTCTTACAACTTGAACCATGCATCAAGACAGAGACAACCAGAGCGTATTTCTCAGTTTGATGTCTTTTTCAAGTCTGTCAAGTGTGGGCGTCCACTCGGTCACTACTGGTAGTCATTCTGGGATAAGCGACACAATCATAGGTGTAGTTCCTGTTGTGGAATTTATATATTTCGAAAAAAATGCATTTATTTAGCGATCTTTTCCCAATTTATTAATTATTTATTCATCAAAACATTTCATATTGACTGATAAATCCTGCACCGAAACTGTGTCATCGCTACGCATTGTGGGTCACTGTAATAGGAGGCTTGGTTCTATACCAACTATTTTTGAGACAAAATTTCCATAAAATTGCGTCTTTTCTGTGATTGACGATTTGAAATTCTTTAAAAAAAATTCAGATCTGTGTACAATTTTTTTCAAATTGAAGAGCCAATTTGTGGATATTCATCTTCATGATTGTATTGGATATTTTTCAAAATGACCGCCTTAAAATGAAATGCAATCATTTGTTGCCGTGGTTACTATTCTTATTTACAACATATGATTGTAATACGTTTGATTCTCGACAAAAATGCAGACTGTGTAGCGGCGTTCAATAATCAATATTCTCCCCGGTCTTGTTAAAGGATGCATCCACCCGGTTATAAAAAATAGCTACGACATTTCGGTGTGTCTCAAGGGATTCCAAACTGACAGCTTCTCGATGGAGTGAGTAATTATAACAGTGTGTACTTTATTGTTGACTTCTAAGGAAACATTGAGTTAGTGGAATGAACCGTGAATAAGTGAAGTGTTTGTGTTGATTCATGGAATCTATAGAGACTATGGTAGATTCTGAAATTGAGCAGACTAAAAACGAATAAGGTCACACAAAGACAATCACCAATTAGCGCTTTCAATAGGCTCTATACACTTGCCCTGTCGGGAATTCACATATTAAAATTATTAGTATCCTACACCAAAAAAACTAACACGATTTAGGCACAGTATAGACTTAGATTGAATATTCGAGAAACAACTGATGTGTGGCATAATGGTTAATATGTCTGATATCACCAGGGAGATCGTGGTTTCGTCTCTCATGGTCTACTGCACAATCGGCAGTGGAAAAATTGGAATACATCTTCTCCACTTGCGTGCTTTCGGAGAGTAAACGGCCCAGCCGTACATCTTGCAAGGAGTAGCAGTTCCCGCGGAACATCTGGCGTATTCCTCTCACTACATGTGCATGCATGGGATGTGCTGTCTCTCATTTTCCAGCCTGTAAATTGTTCCGAGCTTGTTGACAGGGAATTATATAATATAAAGGGGTAATAAACAACTTCAATCTGTAAATAAATGAATGATAATGGATAATTAAATATTGTGTGTTTTATTATTACGTATACGACTGAAACAGTCTTCTCTGCCAGTAGACAGCTAACTATCCTGAGATCTTCATAGTGAATCGAATACTAGTATGTCACTGAGTGTTGCTTCTTGTAATATGAATCCTGATTCGACAGAAGACATCCCCTGTAACTATTGAATATCGCACATTATAGAATGTTTCATGGTTCATTGTGGATTGCTCGCACTTACAAGTGAATGTTATCCGAGTTTTCAATTGCAAAGTGGATCCATTCAAAGTATTCGGACATTAGTGAGCATTTTTTCTGAGACGTTCTTACTAGAATGTTTACTTGTATGCGGAAACTACTACAGTTCGTAACTTGAATTCGGCCGAGAAAGTTACTTTTTAAAATTTCCTAGAGTGTGATGATAAAACGATAACAACCATGAATCCAAACTAGCGAATTTTCACATATGTAAATTAGCTGGTTTACATATTCTATTAATCAATATCCAACTTTTTTTTCAGTTTCTAAGTTACAGTTAAAGAAACAACCTTACGCAATCTGAATAAAAATTATTGACGACATAATCATACCACATGTATGCAGAATCAATTTAACAAGTATGCGATGATTTGGGATTATCAGTATTTTCTTGGTTGCATTGCGGTTGAACGGATTTTTCTTTTAATAATGTACAAAAATTACATGTACAATAATGCAAAATAAACTGAGTTCAGTTTGTATGAAGATTTTTTTTTCAAAGTTATACTGATATAACTGCTTTAAATCCGGATAATTTCAAGCCGTGACATCGGGACTGAAGAGATACCTCCCTCCCCGTGTGCTCGGAAGAAGAGCTTCGCCATTAGTTCCCATAACGCTGTGCAATATCCTTCCCGTAGGTCTGTGTGCTTTACGCAACATTATCTCTGCCACAGGAAACCTTCACTTTTGTGCCCAATGTGCGAGGTTACATTAATGGAGTGAAATGTCGCATGTGACGCACTTAAACTGAGAAAACCAAAATCCAGTTTACGTATCAAGTTGGAAATGTAGAATTAACATCGATTTCACTCTAAATCTGGCTGTCTGGGAAAATTAAGATTGAACATTATTGTATAATCTAATGCCGTGACATATTTGAATCTAATTATCCGAACGCTTCATTCAGATTTAGTACTTAAAATGCGTTATTATACTAATTAATTAACAGACGTGTGGTTCAAAGATATACGAATGTGCAAATGAGTCGTATGCAAATTTGCATTGTGCAGTGATGATAGTAGTAGTAGAGATGGTTTATACGCTGTAACCACCACGTGATCATGGTTCTACCCAATAATGTGACGCGCTAGTGACGTCATTGTAAAAGTGTGCACTTTACCATAGAATCCGACATTCGTCCCTCTCTCTCGTCTCTCACCTTTATAGTCAGATTTATACAAATTTCACTGTTTTACGATTTTTGAAAGACGACGCCCGTAGGGTGCCACTGACCTAAGACGGCGTTATACACATATATACACAGAATAATGGTCTTGGTTTCTAGCTGAAAACTGCAAATTAACGTGTATACCCCGTCATATTCCGCCAAGCTTCTTCGAAACGTTGAATTTGAATAATAATTATAACAATTTTGAACAAATTTTAGTAGAACAAATCCAACGATCAATAGCGCCTCGGATGCGGCGGTGTTCAGATGGTATTAGCCGTCACTCAAAATTGATGTATTCATTCAACTATGGACCTATTTTGAATATAATTTGCCTATAATTCAATGCAATGTACCGTGACTATATCTTTTAGATATCTGACGGTCGGTCACTATAGGGAAAACTTCATTTTTCTTGAAATCTTGCCATTTTTTTCTCAACAGATGGGACCTTACTGCACCCACAAGGCGTTAGACTAATAATTAAATGCAGCATATGAGGTCTATAGTAGAGTGTATTGAACTTTATGAAATATATAGGTCGTCTCGAATTTTCACTTGCGGCACGATATCCTAGTCCGTCCATGCATGGAGCAATTATTAGCTATGCTAAGGGACTGGACAGAAAATAAAAGGGAGAAAGACGTTGTTTTTCTAAATTCAGATAAACACCCGCAATAAATATACAGACCTTTCCTCGAATAATGCATGAACATTTGTGACTCCAGACCAGATATTGTTACCTATAGAACATCTCATCACTAACCACATCCTTATTACTAAGCGCACATCCAACTAACAAGTGTAGGAGACAAAAATGAAAACTAATTTATGGTACGCACCGTCATATACGTTAAACACTAATTCATTAAAAACCACACAAATGAGCGTTATTTCGTTTAATAGGGGTAGGTGTTATTGCTGGACAAGTGTTAATATCCTCAATTCATCCACCAAAACTTTGATTCACGCTTAAAATATATAAGTGTAACAAACCGTGGGTTGAGACATTTTTCGAAGTTAACATTAATTGCAATACAAACCACAGTTAATATGAGGTTACTACGAGGACACCTCAAAGTATACACGAAGACAGTACAGTGCATACTTTGAGGTATCCTCATAATAACCTTATTATTATATATCTTTTCCTTCCAAGAATACATCATGGGAATGCCGAAATCCAAAAAGTTTAGAACAGAATCAGCGAACTTCTTTGTGTGGAATCCGGTCAAACCCTGGTGGCAGCCATGTTTGTTTTTATTATTAGAGAACACTTAAGCGCGTAATCATTCCATGTTTGGAATTCGTATTTCCTTATTTGGTTGGATGAAAATACCCCGTAAAATACCACAAAATTACGGCACGCTGTAACTTACGTCGTTATGTTGACAGATGTATAACAATAATATTTTAACATCAATGTATTAACAATAATTGATTTAATTTATCGCGATCACAATATACTGATTTTCCACATACACATCTGATTTTCCAATTTCAAGTTTAATTCAATCTTGAATGCAATGCCCTACGTCCAAAATAATCAGGAAATATAAGGCTTTGTATTATATAGAAGAGAACACTGACATCGTATCTACCACATAACACAACCCAGTCTGGGTGAAGTCATATATTATAGTGACCTTTGGAACCATTCATTGGTTGAACTTATAACTATCCATTCCGCGCCTTCTACCGGTACCATTCCAACACTTCAAGTTCAAAGCATCTACATTCACACATTTCATGTGTCATAACATTCACCTAAAAAGTTGAACCAATTATTAT